CGTCAGTCGATAACTGATAAAATAATAATGCGGTACTCTCGTACTCGCTAAACTTTCGATAAAGCGTTTTAAGTGAAAAAGTTATCCTTTTAAAAACTTTGTTTTTCGAAGGTCGCCGCCACCGTTACCGATGACGATAGCAAACCCTGACGCCACCAATGTTAAAGTAAAAATTACAAGAAAGAGAGAGAGAGAGAGAAAAAGAGAGTGAGAGGTTTCTTAAGTTTTCTTTCCTTATATTCGTAACTATTATTATCGAAGATTGGAACGGTAACGGTGGAATGCTTACAAAAACAACGAATAAAAATATTCTCATCTAATATAGAACCATAAAGAAATAAACAAAAGTTAGGTCATATAAAGGAATATAAAATACAATCCTATCGATATCGAAGTTGAAAAACTTTTGGAGAAAAAGGTTTTCGCGCAAACCGTGAGGCATAGTTCTAACGCTTGCTCGAACACTGTGTTTCGACTTCCCCGTTTCAATAATCGCAACGAGTTGGCGAATTGAATAGCGTACAAAACTATATGCTGTTACATTTAACGCCATAGCTATGGAAAAGCGAAAGAATAGGACGAAGAAAATGGTGGAAGCGAAACCCAATGGCGCGAGCTAGCTGCCAGCGTACACGTTGAAACTTCGAATAAAGAGAGCAAACGAGAGAAAAGGAAAGAAAGAGAGAGAGAGAGAGAGAAAAAAAGAGAGAGAAAGAGCATGCCTCTGGCTCCAGAATACAAATGGGAAGATGGCCATTGTTATAGGGCATCCGACTTGTGATCAAAGTTGCTGCGATTCTAGGCTATCTATGTTACCATGGAAATGGAACGTCTTCGGCCAGTACCATCGACGATGAGCAAGACGCAAGCAGCAAACCCTGAATTGGGCTAAGACCGGCTTGGCAAATTCTACAAATGGAATTGTGGGCCGCCTTCGCTTCCGTTCGCGAATACATCGAGAATACATCCAGAATAGTACGGTGATGCGACAATGTGTCTACACCGGACGCGAATACGTATCCATGTATATATATATATATATATATATACTTTATACATATAGACGGATATAAACTCGTGGATTGTGTGATCGAGGAGAATTACCGAGAACCAACGTCAATATTTGAAGCTGGCTAAAGCTCATACCATTTGCCAAGACATCTTTTCTCATTCGTCGACGTTCACACCATCATCGCGATAATCTAGCTTTCCATTTAACACCATTCAAACGTTTCGCGGATATAGTTTGACAAATCTATAACTTTATCTGTGCTTATCTATTTTTTATCCGACAGCTATAATCTTCGAACAGGTTTTCCTTTCTTATAAAGGACAATGATCGATACTTTGAATACGTCGTTAAAAAAAAACATATACATGTTATAAATTTGATTGAGTTCATATTTTATTCAAAGGTGTATAACCCTCTATTATTTTTTGCAATAATTAAATAATTTCAACGACGTTGTACACAATTAGTAAAGAGAATAAATATAAAGACGAAGGTAATATAAAAGGTGTGAGAAAATGAACGATAAATTAATATGAATGTAACTAATAACACGTATCTATGCATCTCAACATATTTTCACAGGAGAGTCGGCGATTAATGCATCGAGTCAATTCAAATAATTTGCTAATCGTAATATTGGTGCGAGTTAGAGTAAGCACATAATTTGGACAAATTATCGTTCGAAGGTGGGGAAACTAATGACAAGGTGTGGTTAATAACGATGTAACGGAAAATGAGCATGTTCGATGAACATTATCAACGAGTTGTCGACAATGTTTGCACGAATAATTAGCGAGTACCGCGTATACGAGTTTGGACAAGCTCGACTAACTTTAACGAGAATTCATTTTCAACGATACTATTGTCTATCGTCAGTTTTTTAACTTTTTTCCTTCCTTTCTTTTACGGAATATAAAAAAAAGTTCTCCGGTTATATATATTTCGAATCGTCAAAAGAGATTTCTCCTCGTTCGGTTCATGATTCTCAAGCTTCTCTTTTACCTAAACGAACAAAAGTCAAGCTCAACGCTTATTCCTTATTCACCTATCGATTAAACTCTCATTCGAATAATGATTGGAACGATCAACTAACGAACCGACCACGAGCACCTAAACATCTCGGAAATGAGTAGTAGGCATACATATACATACATACATACATACATACATAGGAGAGTGGGCAAATAAAAAGCCCAACACAAACGACTAGCCTGTTACCCTCTTTTCTATTCTAGCCGAATATGAAAGAAAAAGAAAAAAAGAAGAAGAAGAAGAAGTAGGGGGTGAAAAAAGATGAAAAAAAGAATGAAAGAGCAAGGAACCTCAGGCTTTTCAGCGAGTTTTTAGCATTCATCGTGTAAACGAGAGTGACGGGGAGGGCTTCTATCGACGATAGGGAGGACGAAAAGTCGTTGAGGATTAAAACGACTGAGGGAAACGTTTATCGAAGACCGCGAGCAAGTAGTATTTTCAGATAGGACAAGGATTGATCAAGAGAGAAAGGTAGAAAATAGAAGAGACGAGATACGAGGATACAAAATCGCTTATATCTGATTCTCTCTTTCTCTCTTTAACCAATTCGATAATTAGAGCTTCACAGTCGGCTCGTTTCGACGTCTATTCGTTATCGCAGAAACAATCGCAAGTAAATAATTGGATCGTTCCTATCGGTACATGTCAATTCTAGCTGAACCGCGCGAAATCCCATTAATTCGAAACTGCGGTTTGCGCTTACAATAAGTGTGTAGAAACCTCGGTGAGCCCTGATACGTGCGACTATTTGCCCTTTTTACCCATTTCTATGTTAAAATGGGATCCGTGCAATTAACTACTGAATAATAACCAATATATATATATATATATATAATTTGCTTTTACCAGTTCTATTTCTATCTACATTTATCTATCTCATTTTATTTCTCTATTATCCTGTCTTCTTAATCTATCCAATATTATATATTACATAATAGGAAGAATGAAGGTAACCAGAGTATTAAATAAATATGTCTTAAGTTGATGTTAAAGCTTCTATTATTACTGTTAAACATCATTGCCACAAACTTACAATATGAAACTATAAAGAGGATTCTCGTTTTTGAATCTCGTTCGAAATGATTGTAAGTACAGGTACAGCATGTTAATACTACCGCAATGCAAACGTACTTACCGTGTCGTCGTACGGCAACACATTTAAAATATACATGTGTATATATATATATATAAACTACCCCGTTATGTACCCCCTTACCTACCCCCTTACCAACCGAGATGACAAAGCATTCTCGCACATATTACGAACTAATCGTCCTCTAACGAGCCGCAAAGATCTCTCTCCTTTCTCCTTCCCTACACACTCTTACTCTTCTACTACAATTTAGGTGTCAAGAGGTAACACTGACAACGTTTTAACGAGTAAACGATCGTTAATTAACGGATAACGTTCTGCCAACGCGTTAACAATTATCATTTATTTCTCGGATTATTTATAATCTTGTAGAGAAAAGTTTTATCCTTATATAAATGAGAATAGTTTAAAATAATTGTATTATATCATGGTGTCACAGTTTCTAACAAGCTTAACGCTAAAGAAAAGATAAAAATTGATCACTAAGATTATCATTTAAGCAAATGAATGTTAATTAGAATATAATCATAAATATATATATATTTAAACACCTGCTATATGCCTCGAATGTAGATACCCGTAGACTCGTAGTATTTCGGTAATTGGACAATATATCTTTATCGATTGTTAACAGTAGTCAGTGGACACTGCTTGCGAAGCGACGCATTGGGATCCTGGACTAAATTTATACCCTTAATGAGTTAAATCAGAAGGAGAAGGGAGGGTTGATGGTGGGAAAGCGATGTTCCTCTACCGAGGAACCCTATTCCCTTTGATATTATCGATTGAACGGTAACCTACTGGCATACCAGTTCGATCGTCCGGTTCCGACCGATTGTGGCTGATTAGAATGACTGGGCTGACTAGTCGGCAACTGGTACTACTGCGTCGTTAAAATCACTATTACTACTACTACTATTACTACTACTAGCTGTTAACTAGACACACATACAGACAGAGCAGATACATATACAGCAAATCTTTTCTCAACGTGACGTTTGAGAATAAAATCTGACACTTAGTACGATCATCCAAGCGAGATTCACGATCTAACGTATGACGTATACGATCCTATAGAAAATGTCAATGTACTTTTGTAAATGTCAAATATGGTAGAGCTTGGAAGGAAAGGAAAGGAAATAAAAGCATAAGCAAGGCAAAGCAAAAGAAAAATGTAACTTTCTCTCGACACGAGATCCTTCCATAGTAGTAGATGGTTCAGCTTCGGCATCGACAAATCGTCGATAAACGCGAATAGTCGTCGTTGGAGAAAAACGAAGCACGTCTTATAGAAATTTTTCGCCTGAGCCCTCAAATGCTCGATTTAGGTTGATCGCACCTGCGGCTCTTGCCCTTTTCTATCTTTTCTATATAGGCGTTTTAAGATCAATTTTCATAGAAAGTAAACGCGACCTATAGAAAATAGACATTAACCCTTAACGTTGAATTATAACGTTGAATATATATATAACCCTTATTTCAGAAATATTTTCTCTAACTCTAACCAAGAAATAAAGATAGGAATTTGGTCAGAAATTTACGATAAGCTTTGGGTCGTAAGGATACAAAAGCCCTATCGTATTTTATGTTACTTCGTGACACACCCGTTAGGTGGATAGTACTTGATTATCCTTCCTTCCTTCCTTCCTTTCCTGTAACTAACATACAGATTTTAGATTAAGTTAATACGTTTGTTCTACTTTGTTTCCCTTTCTTTTCTAGTTAAAACTTACTTCCTGTGTTATGTTTAAAATAGACCATAGGACATACTAGCAAATTTCTCTACCATCATCGATAAACATTTCAGCAAGCGTATAAAGCCACTTTGAATTTCATATCAAGCAACCTTGTTTCTCTGTTTAGTACCCATATCGCACATCGTGGCACTGGTCGGAGATCCCACCTATCTTCCCTGCGACATATCAACTACCCACGAAGGAGATTCGGTACATCTTGTGCTTTGGTATCGCGAAGATCTTGGAGCACCGGTTTACAGGTGAGATGTAATCAATGTAAACACATATACCTCTATCTACAACAATATATATAATACATACAAATACGTACATTCTCTACTTACTATATTCTCTCTTATATAAATATATAGATATATGTATACATGCACAGTCCCTATCTATCCTTCTATCCATCTACGAATGTACAAACAGGCATTGGTCGTTGTCTCTATTGGTCTGCACCAGGTTACATACATCTTGTCGACACAATGCGAGATTGGTGGTCGCTTTTAACCGAAAATTGCCTTCGAACTCGATTTTCGTCTCACATCGTGAAATCTATGTATATGTATACCTATATATATACATTTATATGTATATATATATATATATTTCCATCAACATGTCCCTTCACCAAACTAAACTATCCTAGATTTTATCTACTATACCGTACAAAAGCATTGAGAAATGAGTTTTCCAACAATTCATAATCACAAGGACTAAAAATGACTACGCTTCGTTCAGTGTAGTAAACTTTGGAAAATAGTTGGAACGTTTACGATATACCTAAGTTTAAAGAGACAGATACACAGAGATTAAGAGAGAGGGTGAGAGAGATAGAGAGAGTTCTTAGATACCACGATCGAATAAGCATGTTAACTATGCGAAATATATAGCCGTGGAATGCCGCAGTGTAATCGGTATCGCAAACTTGGCTCACGCTACCAAACAGTAGGTGTAATTGGTCCTAATTGATCCTATCTGAATAATGCCAAGACTGGAAACCTGTTACCATCGAATTATCTTACGAGCGAGCGTTGAATTGTTGCGTGCAAAAATCTGCTTCAAAGTCAGACTTTTTTTTATTACGAGTACTTTCATTCGAAATAATAAATATTAAAATTATACTAGTGTTTTTATTTTTTTTTCTTGAATTGAGTGAAAAAATGAGAGAGAGAAAAAAAAAGGTTGAAAAGAATTCTTTTTTATACCTTGCTCTAAAAAGATTTTCCTTTCTCTTCTTCCTCTTCTTTTTTCTTCTTCTTCTTCTTCTTCTTCCACTTCTTTCTTTTTATTCACTTTGAAAGAAAAGTTCATCTCTTCTCTCTTAATTTTACAACGAGAGACGTTCTTTTTCAACGCTTAAAGTTTTTCACCACAAGCTTTGGGTATGAGGTTTCGTTCGAACGAACAAATTCTTGGTAATGGATACCGTTTCCATGCCTTATTAATTCTAACTCAAAGGTTATCTTGAAGAAAAAACAATTAAAACCTTTTAGACGTACATATCTCTATGAAAAAAAAAAAAATACAGGAAACCGCACAATGGATTACACGATTAAACACGATTTCGTGTTTGCACGTCGTTAATATAATCTGCCTGTATACTTTCTCTCTCTCTCTTTTTCTTTCTCTTCAACTTTGAATTCCAACGTTTAAATAAATTAGTCTTTAAAAGAATCTTAATTGAAATGAAAATTGATTTCTCACTGGGTCTTCGTTAATCATGATACACATCAAACTCTCATACACTAGGCTACTGAGAAATAAGATTTTATGTTCATGCATAGATAGTTAGACAACATTTTAAAAATAACTTATTGATTTATTGATAGATAATCTATCGTTGTTATGTCAAAAGTTTGCTTAAGATATTCCAGCATTTTCTTATCCCCATAATAATCTTGCATAAGTTTCTATAACCAATTTATGGACAATGCTAGGAATGAGTTGTTCTACTGGGACATCTTTGACAACTTCTACTAAAAGCATGAAATTACATGAACACTTAATCTCCACCGTTCCACGATAGAAATTGTAGTTCGTTAATTACTATCTAATGTCAAATATGTTCTAATTTGTCTTTTGCTTTGTAAACATTCAAAAGAGATAGAAACAATATTTAAAAATCTAAAAGTCGATAAAACGTTAAATTAGAAGAAACACTTGAAAAATTCATTTCCATGATAGCGAGAATCACGTCAGTCAGATTTACAGAAAAATATTCATTCGTAGATACAAAAAGAAAAAAGAAAAAAAAGAATTTAAAACGTATTACTCGTTGGCAAATAAATCCATCACTGGTTATTTCAAAAAAGAACTCAATCTTTCTTTTATCTTTTTCTTTTTTTCTTAGAAAAATTCCATTTCCACAAATTCACGTAACATTTTCAAAACATTTAACCGATAGTGTGTGTGCGTGTATTTTATGTCTCTCTCTCTCTCTCTCTTTATCTGTGTATACATGTATTCATTTAAACCAGCTGGTCAGAGGTGGTAAGATTCATCGGTATAATAAAACGATTCCTCCTGTTGGCAGCGTCGACGCCAGAAATCGAGACTTTGGCAGAGTCCAGAAATGGTCGGACGACACGGAATTTTCTGGTCGAGCTTACTTCATGCCAGATCAAAAACCGGCCATGTTGGGTGTGGATCACATAAGGGAAGAAGACGCTGGCATTTATCGATGCCGAGTCGATTTCCAGATCGGCCAAACTCGAAACTACAAAGTCAATTTAACGGTGATAGGTAAGAAAACCATTCATTCATTCATTCATTCATTCATTCATTCATTCATTTGCGTATCACGAATAAGAAATTTATTTTCTATTGGATTTAAGGAAAGATTTGAATTAATAAAAAGAAAAAAGTGAGTTCTATCGAATGCACTTTCCATTTTGCAAATACTTTCGTAAATCTAACTGTAGTTTTTATTCTATCGATGACGTCGTATTTTGTTTTTCTATCTAAAATTTATTTCCTATTTCACTTTTTCTCTCTTTTGCATCAATGCATACAAAGAGTCACTCAGCAGCAGCAGCATTAGTATACAAAAGAGGCTCCTACCTATTTTCCAAGTTTTATTCGTAGAAATTTTTCGCGAATGACACACGAAGATACTACCAGGTTTTTCTTACCAAATGGTGGATATTATTTGTCTTGTTGTGAGATGTTATATATTCTATACTTCGATGGTGTTACCGAAAAAGTTTCACATTTTTACGAGTTAAGAAGATCTCTCCGCACGAGAGAATTGCGAGAAGTGCGAAAAGCTTTCCAAAAAGGTTTTTTTTTCTATAATACATTTCGTTAGCAATCGTAACGAATGTTTGTTACATTTCTTACAATGTAACAGTATGTTACGTGTTATATATGAACGGTCGTGCACGCATTCTCTCTCTCTCATTCACAAATACACAGCCACTACATATCCTAACAATACGTCTCTCGTCACTACGTCACTAGACGCAGCAAACAACGAAAGGCCAACGGTCTCGATTTATAGTCAACGTTCTGCAGTTGACATCGGAACGTATGTACGTATGTACATAGAGACACACACACACACATTGCATATATATATATATATATATATATATATATATATATATACGTGCATACATATAAATAAGAAGAAGAAAAATAAGATGATCGGTAATCGAGGAAAAATATCCATGAAATTTTCCCCTTCTTTACTCNATATATATATATATATATATATATATATATATATATATATATACGTGCATACATCCAATATACAAGGAACACCTTCACATGGCCTAGTAATAGAAAATATTTCTACCGTACCACCCGGTCTCACCTATACCTCTCTACTCATGCTTGGGTGGTGTTCATGCACCTAGCATGCTTACGTTCATGCTAGCAACACAGGGAGACACATATTTTTCTAACCGTAAGCTATGAAATATAAACGACCGATAAATAATCTTTTTTTATATCGACGATTTACAATCGGAAAGTCCGAGTCACTGCGAACGATCTAACTCAACCCTCAACCCCAATCCCAACCCCATCCCGTTTCTCACCTTATCCTAAACCCGATCTAAATAAAATCCAGGTAAATATTCTGCTCGTATTATTTTCGATTGTTTTCTATATTTTATTCTCTTTGTAAAGAGAGCGTTAACGAACGATTCTAAAGAACAAGAGAAAAATCCTCCTACGCAAAATGAACAAAAATGGAATACATAATAGAAGCTTGGTGTATAGTATAGTACATCCCTTAAACGTTCACGACTGAAACGTTGGAACGTTTCTCGGATTTCTCTTGTGGTCGCGAAAGCGTTGTACTGGAACGAAATGTATACCGGACTCAGAAGCACTAGAAAAAGAAAAGAATGACTGAGAATGTCGTGCAGAAGACGAACCACCGTTGCGAGCAGGAAAACGGGAGAAGGGAGAAGAAGAAAAAAAGAAAAAATAAGAGAAAAATAAGAAGAGCAAAAAGGAGAAGAAGAAAAGAAAGAGGTTGTTATAATGGAACGAAGCTGACATGAAACTGAAGGGTACGGGTGTGGATGCGGGTACAGGTGTATGGGTGCAGGTGCGGGTCCAGGTGGGAAAGAAAAGCAGGAAAATGGGGTTGTTGGACAGCAGAGAAGGAGAAGGAGGAGGAGGAAAGAAGAATCCAATTAACAATTCCGTTGAAAAGTTATGGAGATGCCCTGGGCCGAGAGCGTGGCACGCCAGCCAGCACCCGATGCTTTTTCTTCTCGGCATGTGCCATGGAATTTTTCTCCTGGGATAATTAGCCCCTTTCTACCACCCCCTTGGTACCTCATCCCTTACTCGAATCCGACGGTAGAAGAGGGCATGGCTCCGGACGGAAAGGCTCGTAAACGCGAACGTTGGTAAACCTTTTCCAGATGAACGCCAATTAACGTGCTTTCTCTTCTCTCCTCGACACCCTCGTACACTTTTCTCTCTACCGTACACTCTTGCTAAAATTGCTAGTTGCACATCGGTCTCTCTATCTCTTTTTTTTTTCTTTTTATTTTCTTTTCTTTCCTTTTACTTTTTCTTTTTCTTTTTCCATTTTCTCGCTTCTTCCTCCACTCTTTTCTATCGTTTTTTTTTTTCTTTTTTCTTCTTCCTCTCATCCCCATTGGCGTGTCGCTAGGCGCGTGTCGTTTTCGAAACACGTACACGCGTAAACGTGAACGGAAGAGAACAAACGGAGAGAAAGAGAGAGAGAGAATATAGACAAGAGAACGACCTTTCGTTAAAAGCAAGAAAGAAAATGGCGTTAAAGAGAGCACTCGAGGAATTTAAATCGCGCTTTTCGAAAGCAAGCAAGCAACCAAGCAAGCAACCAAGCAAGCAAGCAAGCTTGCAAGCTAGCCAACTGTCTATGTCAAAGAGAAAAGAAGGAATGAGAAGAAGCATCCGTGAGTAAGAACGAATAGACGCTGTCACAGCAGAGAATGTTTTAAAACTAACGGTAGAAACAACTCTTACGAATGAACGAACGAATATACACTGTGAATCGCTAAAGTATTCGTACTTTACTAAATTCTTATACTTCGTAAAGCCATTTTAGTATTATTCAATTTTGAAATTCATTATCAATTTATAAAGGAATAAAATTCGAATGAGAAATGCATTTATTTTCACAATATTGAACAATGTAAAAAGACTATGAATACAAGTTTTATGTTACATTTAGATACTTGTGTTTAATGTATATTAAGACTTGTAATACTTTAACTTGATATTCATATAATAGAAATGTTATATTTTCCCTATGAAAATAATATCAGATACTTAACCATTGCAATTGCAATATTAATTTTAAATATGTATATGTTCCCGTGTTTTCCCAAAGAATTTTGCAAATATCGTATTACAAGAAAAAATCGATTGTTTTAAATTGACAGAAATAATACTGATACTCTTGTGACTCACTGTAAATATATATATATACTATTTTATTTATTTTTCTATATATAGCACGATCTTTTCCAATCTTCTTATTTCTGTTTTTCTTTCATTAAACTCATCTCGGAGTTATCAAGAAAATGTAAACCTAAATGCTATTCCAATGGTTCAACTCTACTCGTTATCTCATCGTATATAGTGTGGTTTCACCGTAATCCGATAATAGTTTGATAAGCAAGAACCTTTGGCTAGCGAACTAACTATCGATACTTTGCTAAAGAGCTAGTCTAACGATTACCAATGTCTGAATGGACTATCTTAACTTGAAACCCTAAAAATCTATATTCACGAAAGATGATACTTGCTAATAATACCACGTACCTAAATGTTGCTAAGTAAAGTTCACGATCATTATAATTTAATCACATTTTTGATATTTAAAATCACTCGATATAAAATATAAATGATCATTTTATTTTATTTCCATTTTTATTTACCATTTTTCCAAATCAATCAAAGTACGTTCTTCAAACCATTATTCGTATCATTAAAAAGAAAAAGAACAAAAAAGAACAAAGAATATATTTAAGTGATCTACTTGAATTGTGAGACACCTTTGTAAATAATAGAAAATAGACAAAGGTTAATGATGGAAACTCAATGAAAGAAGAACGGTGATACTTTAGAAAAGTAAATTGAAATAAAATAAAAATCTTTGAGAGGAAACGAAGCAACAAACGATAGAGAAAGCGAGCAAGTCTTTTACATTTGAAGAAAAGAATTTAAGGAACGAAGGAGTCATATAAATTGGATCTAAAGAAATTTATCAAATTCGTTACTAGAAATGCGACACTAAAGTAAAAGTAGAAACCGCATACTTCTTACTAGAGACGTCACTATATACGATAGACATCGATTTGTTCGATTTTCAAAAGAAGCTTTACAAACTCCTTTCTTCTTTCTTCTTGAAACTCGAATAACGCGATAGCTGTTCTGAAACCGACAGACAGGCAGACAGATCAGACAGTTAGACTAGCAAAGAAGACTCGTGTTAAAATCATAAATCATGTTAGAATTTGAAAATAACATTCGTGTTTTAGGAACCGCTAGCAATCCTACGGATTTTGTTAAATTATAGGACTTTGAATTCTCATTCTATTCTTTCTACTTCATTTTCTTCGTCTTCTTCTTCTTCTTCTTCTTCTACTTCTTTCAGCGTGTTATCAAATGCGTTTGATCACCCGTAAAAAGTTGAAAAGAAAATCGCCATTTCCGTAACAAAGTTTGGGCTATACGTTGACGTTAGAATAAGGGTTAGGATGCTTCGTAAAGAAAGAAAGAAGGAAAGAAAGAAGGAAAGAAAGAAAGAAAGAAAGAAAGAAAAAGAATGGTGAAACTGAGGATAACCTTTCGCTCGAATTGTTCTTCCCGAAGGGTAATCGATCTGGATTTTCTCTCACTCGTCTTCTCGACCCCGAACTTTTAATAGTATTTTACTTTTAAGTACACTTTCGTCCGGATGATGCATCTGGTGCAGACGCGAACGACGATCGAGTCGAAATTCCCTCGTAGAAAGTTAATAAGAAAGAAAAAAAAAGAAAAAATAAAAAAGCAACTGGATAAGGGAGATAAAGAGCAAGAAAGAATGAGAGAAAGAGTAAAAGAAGGGGTGGAAAAGGGTAAAGGTGAAACGAGAAAGAAAAAAAAAACAAACGACACGTAAAACCATGTTCGACGAAGGGATTCAACGAGAACGACCTTGCTCCTTCTTTTCCTTTTATTTTTTTTTTTTTTTTGTTATCTTTCTTGTTTTTTTTTTGTCCTCTTTATTAAACGAGAGTCCTTTT